GTGTGTGTGTGTGTGTGTGTGTGCCGTTTATGCCGTACGTGCGTTTGTCTGTGCGTGTGTATTGCGCATGTGTGTGCACATCTCCGCGCGCATTCCTCCCTCCCTCCTTTCGCTCCTCTTCCCTTTCTCCCCGCCTCTTTCTTTTTTTCATTCGTTCTTTCTCTCTCTCTCTCTGTCTCCTCTGTCTTCCGGTTTCATTCACTCTCTCACTCACTCTTTTTCCCTCTCCTTTTTTCCATATATCTCTTGCTGACTTTCTTTCTCCCTTTCTCTCGCCGTTCTCTCCCCCTCTCTCTATATATATATCTTCTCACCACCTCTTGTTGTTTCTCCTTTATCCTAGCTCCCATCCTCCCCTCTCCCAAATGGTATCACCTACGACCTCGTTAGCACGGAAAACTTTATGCAGGCAAATATAGCCGTTTTTCAACCAAAACATTTTCACCCCGAAGCACAAAATATGGATATACGGCTATAATACATATAACATATATACATATAATATATTATAGTATATAAAGAACACGTCGTTTTTCTATATTGGGGGCGCCCGTTAGCGAGGCCAATGACGTATTATGAATTACGTTTTTTGAGTAGCGAATAGTAGAGTGAATAGCGTCCAAACTGGCTTCTTTCTCGCGAGACTTTCGTACACGTGACTTTCGTTGTTCGCTGGCCTACTCCATATTCTCCCGCGCTCTCGTGGAATGTGCACGGTTTCCTTCATTCTCCGTTATCGCCTACCGACGCCACGTTTGCAGGTAACATAATTAATATGGTGTAATGATAAACGCTTTGCGCATGTAATGCTATAAATAACACGGTTATCATTAAATACAGTTTAGTGACAAATGTGCTTTATATAGAATAATTTATATATATTTGAAAGACAGGCGAATGGGCCGTCTGTGCGCGCCTAAGTACAGTTCTCATTTAAATTCCTCCCTAAACAACAAGCAGGCGCGAGTTCTGCGTATCTCCCTCGCTGTTTCCTTCAGTTCGTTTTAAAATAAATTACGTTATAGTGGACAGCGAAATCAACCACCGATCCATCTAACCACACCCACTCACCCACCCGCCCGTTATATATATATATATATTCACACTTTCCTACTTTACACACATTACTATAGAATACTACGGTGCGATTTATTTGACTGCATCATTGTTTTACAGATCCCGAGTACAGGGATGAGCTTCGCTACGTGGATATGGCCCAAGTCTTTGTCAAGGACATTTGGCGTTCTATGTAAGAAGACAAATAAGGGGAGGAGGAAGAATAAAACGGCGAAGAATAAGCAGGAGAAGAAGAAAGGGAGAAGGAATGAGAAGATGAAGAAAAGAAGACAAAGAAGAAAGGGAGGAGGGGGAGGAGGAGGAGCATCAAAAGTTGTGCTTCAGCCAATCACTGTGCCACTGTCAACAGGCGAGATCAACTGACTGACGTTGCAACGAACACTTAAGAGCGATATAACAGCTCACCAGCTCTACAGAAACTGGCTTCTTTCTGGCGAGATTTATGACACGTGACATCATTTGTTCGCCTTGTTCGCCAGTCAGTACTCCATTTTCTGTCGGAGTGTCTCATGGAATGTGCAAGGTTTCCTTCATTCTCCGTTATCGCCTACAAGCGCCACAATTACAGGTAAGACATAGAGTAATCATAAACGCATTGCGCATGTGATACTATAAATAATACTGTTATTAAATACAGCTCAGTGATAAATGTACTTTATATAAAAGTAATTAAGTTATTTGAAGTACAGGCGAACGGGCCGTCTGTGTTCGCTTCAGTACAGTTCTCATTCAAATCCGTCAACCTCAAGCAGGCGTGA